AACAATGAAGTTTTATTCGACTAGTGGAGTCGGTTACATTGATCAGACGACCTCATTAATTGTCAAAATTTTTTAGGTATTCCTCTTCCTCTAACCACGTGTCTATTCACCATTTAATCAGGCTTTTACACGTGATGCTTTATTAGTCTTCTATCCACAAGTCTAAACCATATAAGATGAGTTTCTACCATATTTAATTTTCTACAATAATTTTTTTTAGTACGTCTGAAAACTAAAAAGTACTTCCTACATCCCAATTTAAATTGCTCGTTTTGCTTTATGATGTTTGAATGGAATTATTTTCAACTCATTTTAAATGAAAATTAATGTAAAATTCAAGAATATAATTTACATATTTAAAAGCTACTCTCTTCGCCCCGATTTAAATTACTTGTTTATTATTCACAGGATCAAACTTTATTCATTTTTCTTTTTCTATTTTCCCTAGTTATTTAATAAAATAATACAAAGTAATCATGTTCCCACTAATTTTGTAGATTTTTCATTTTCTTGATCTATTTTTTAAATATGTAATCTTTATTTTTTTAACTCTACACCATTTTTCATTTAAAATGATTTGAAAATAACTTAAATGAAACATCACACCAAATCAGTACCAAAAAAGAATAATAAAAGTGATTAAAATTTAACCCTATAAATAATAAACAAGCAATATCAAATTGAAACCGAATATGCTTTTTGAATGAGGTAAATGTACCGGCCTTCTCGACAATTGGAGTTAAAATATATCCGCTGGACTAATGGGCTAACCCAAAACGTCACTCCATTACGGGAACATAAACCACCTAAAATTGAGGTTGTGGGCTAAAGCTAATCTATCGCATGTCCAAAGGGGCGATATCCATAGGTCCAATTCGTTTAAAAATTAGATGGTGGCCCAATACAAATCCATGAGTATGTTGTGTGGATTTAGCACTAATACATTGCCATCTTTGTAGGGGTTCTCCTTTTGTTTGTTTTTTTATCGAAAAGATTTACAATAATACTCCCATATATCTCTGATTTTACAAGGATAATTTGAAAATTAATTAATTACACTATCACTCTCAAAATTACTCTCTTTTTATTAAAAAATTCATCAGTCAATTCACTTGCACAATCATAATGTGTAATATCGACATGGATTTTTAAAGTGATAAAACAAATTAAATTATGTATTCTTCCTTTTACTCAAATACTCTCTCTGTCAACCATAGATCTTCACAGATATTATTCACAAGGTCAAACTTTACTCACTTTGTTTGCTCATTTTTACTAGTCATTTCGTAAAATAATATAGTCTTGTCACCTCTAGTTTTGTAGAACTTTTCATATAGTTTATTAATATATAAATTTTATTTTAAAATTTTACTCCAACAATCAATTAAATTGAATTGAAAATAAAGTCGGTCAAGACTCGTAATACGTAATGAGAAGATCTTAGGTGATTGAAGGAAGTATTAGTTTTCCTTCATATTTATTTGGATGATCTTTTATATAAGTGGTTTTTAAATTTTTTACAATATTTTCCAATATGTTCGAGTTTTTCAAACTTCTTTCAATTTCTTTTAAAATACAACTTTAGAATTCCAACAAAAAAGAGCATGTCCTATTTGTGAGTGATTGGCGAGTGTAGTGTTTTTTGTAAAAAGAGAGCAATTGCGTAAGTAATAATGTGAGGGAATAACCGATCCAAAAAGATAAGTAGCATTTGCACCGGTTACTCCTAATAACCAATTCAAATACCCATTTGAATCGAATATTAAAAAAATATTTGTATTGCTATTTTGTTTGTAGTATTCGAATATGGTTTGATTATTTTCTAACATTCAAACTCAGTCCAAAATACGAGTGTTAGTTCGTTTTTTATTGCTCTACATTACTACTTGTGACAAATATTATGAATCTTGAATTGAATTCAAACATTTTATCATCACTATAATTTTAAAATTTTTAAAAATAAGATACAATTTAAATATTTTTCGTTAACCTAAAAAATACTTTTAAAATAAAAAATTCAAAATTTTGTCCAATTTGTTTATAGCAACATGTAAATACTTTGAATAAATGAGGGTGTTCTAGAAAGGTTGAAATAGACGGTAACTTTCAAAGCATTGCATATCACGGTTAATTATTATGGAGTGTCGATTACGGAGTATTATTATTACCAAATAATCATCTCAATTATCTTGGGATAATTTTTTGTTTCTTATTATTATATTAAAAAATAAATTATTATTGTGACATCTTGTTTTGTGAAATAAGTTTTTAAAATATTTTGAAATTTGTAATTTTATTTTTTATTTTTACACCTATTAATATAAAAATTAATTATAAGAAAATGAAATTTTATATATTACTCGAAATGTGACCATTATTTTGGGCCGGAGAAATGTTATTCAATAACGAGAAAACCCGTCATTGTTGTGGAAAAATGGAAAAGTGCTTTTGAAAGAGTGGGCAAATGCTTGCCTCTTTTCTTCTTCTCTGCCAAGAAAATCTTGTTTGACCTTTAATTTTGGTTTCACATTATAATCTTTTTACAAAAGTAATATTTATTTTAGTAGTGGTAAATTTAAATAAGTTTATTGCAACAATATACCTTTTAATTTGGTAAATACAAACTGTTACCCTTCATAATTTTAAATTTATGTCGTTACCCTCGTGATTTTGATATTCATTTGCCAATTCCACTCGAGACAAACATACCCTTCAAATATTAAATGAATAGTTTTGTTGTCTTATATGGTTTTAGAAATAGGTGTGCACTCACACTCACTCTTCTTCTTTCTGTACTACTATTATTATTATTATTATTATTATTATTATTATTATTATTATTTTCTTCTCTTTTTTCATAAATATTTTTTAAGTTCTTTATTAAAGCTTTTTCATGAACGTTTTTTTGTTTAATGTTTTACGCATAATTTAGTTTTTTCTTGTGCAATAAACCCCACTTTTAAATAGTAAGCATGAAGGGTGTTGGTGAAGTGAGAAAATATTGTTTAGGTGAAAAAAAGAAAAAAAATGGGAAATATGTAAATAATCTACGGGGATAATTTGGGATCCATGGATTGATATGAAAATATGAAAGAGAAATTTACCTAAATATGACTAAAACATAATTACTTTCCTAATATAGGACTATATGTTTTTATTTCCCAATGTAGGACCTTTGGTCATTATCAAGTAGTCATTATTCAACTAAATGTCCATCATTACTGGACATTATTCCTTCCACTAGGTCATTACCAAGTCCTATTTAGGGAATAAAAAAGTTTAAATTCTATATTAAGAAAGTCATTATATTTTAGTCCTATTTAATGCAAATTTCACAATATGAAATGTGTAAATTTTGATACGGAGTAGATGACAAAGGTATATACGATGCCAGTTGATCTTTGTGACATTTGAGGACAAAAAGGTCTTTTTGTCGATTGGGTACGCCCACCGGATCTTGTTTGGGCTGCACAAATGGATCTCACAAGATCTAGAAGAAATATACGGAACACATGTATTTTTTGAGTGCTCCCTCGTTTAATACTTTATAACTTTTTTCTCTATATTTCGTGTTTTTATTATCAAATATTATTTTTGATATGATCTGATTCTAATTAAAAATAATAATACACAGTAAGTAGCAACTAGGAGTTGAAGAAAATAAATTCTTTGTTCGAATATTAGAAGAAACCGCTTTTGTAAGGTGATTCAGAGCTTATTCTCTTTAACTTGTTTTTTCATATGATTGTTCTTTTCAACTTATTTTATTATTTTTTTCTTATTAGAATCAGATCTGATAAGAGGTAATTTTAAATATAACTACAACCAGATGAGACCAAATCAAATTTATTCCAATCAGGTCAGGTAAAGTGAACGAACCTTTAAATTTTAGAGATAGTACATCTTGATATGTTTGAGTTAAGCACAAGACTCTATTTACCAAATTTAAAATCTCTCTATATATTTTAAAACTCAAGATGTGTTATAATTGTAGTGTATATGTATAGTTGCGAATTAGTTGTGATAAGTGTCTCATTTAAAAACAAGATGGTTCCATTTGAGATATAACATGTGTGAACTATTTGAAAATTGGTTTTTTTAGTTTGGTACAATGTAAATTGGGTTCGAAATAATGTTGAATAACTTTTTGGTCCTAGTGTGAAGCATGCAGCATTTTCTTACCGGACATTTAAAATGAAAACTTTATTTTTTTATGCAACAAATTGTATAATAATCCACAAATAATATTATGGAGCACTCTGTATTATTATTCTCTTTTGTTATAAAATAAAAAGTACAAATTAAATTTTTTACCCCGAGCATAACACACGATGTGAAAAAAAAATTGAATTTATAAAATAATCAATGATAATATACAAATAAACAAAATTTATCGAAACATAGAAATAATAATTGAGACAACATTTTTGGAAGAGAATAAATGTGTATTCTCGGTATATCTCATAGACTTATACCCACTTAAACTTTGTAAAAAAGTCAATGAAAACTAGATAAGACTTATGAGACCGCATTTGGGCAAGGTTAGCAATTAGGAAAGGACTGAAAATCAATTTAATCAAAATGCAGGGGATTGTGTGTAAATGTAATGAATCTTAAGTACCGATTGGAAAACTTCTGCAAAGTGGAAAAGTCGTGCTTTATGATAGCCTTCCACGTCTGCGCTGACGCTGTTTTGGTCGTAAACACGTCCAAAATGGACAGAGGGCTTTTGGTCATTTCGTCGGTGGATCCCAATCTCCCCAGGGACTAGATAGAAATAACAAAGAGTATCAAGGACTTGGATGGTAAATAACCCCTCCAAACAGAGCTAATTTTGAGATTATTATTGATACAGCAGTAGAGCTGCCAAAATCCTTCCATCCACATGGAAAACACCTAAAAAGAAAGAAAGAAAGAAAGAAATCATAAAATAAAAGAAGAAAAAAGAAATAATATTAAAATAAAAATATATATAAATAAATAGAGTACATAAAAAGGGTTCTCAATTCTCATTCTCTTTCAGTAGTCTTTATCTCTATATTCTCTTCTAGCTCTGTTCTTCTCGAAACTGTTAAACTTTCATCCTGGCTATGCAAGTTTGAGTCTTTTGCCTTTTTTCCATATTTCCCCCCCTGTTTTTAAAAGTAGATTATTACTCGTTTGGAGAAGAAACCCAGAAGTATGTTTCTTTATTTAAACACACTGTGATTTTTTGCTGTGAGAGTAATTAGTAGCACAGAATCTGGGAAGCCAAGGAGTTGAGTGATTAGGATCTGACATTACTGGGGGCTGTTTTTACTGGCTGAATTGGATTGAAGAATCATGTCACAGACCAACTGGGAAGCTGATAAAATGTAAACTTTCTTGATATTCAGCTCTCTATCGAAGTATTTGGGGGTTTTGGAAGCCAGTTTAGCTCTATTTTCTATGTTATTTGGTAGATTTGTGTTCTGGGGGTATATGTGTTTCATAAAGCTAGATTCTTGTTTATTTTTTTTGGTTTTCTCTTTTTCTTTTTTTTTTCAATTGATTTCCCCCTTTCTTTTCTCCCTGTTGGGTACTTAGGGTTTGCAAAGATTGATGCATGAACCAGGGTTAACGAAAATAGTTCATTTTTTAATTCATGGATTTGTTAATTAAATGGTTGAAAGCTAATTAAATTGAGCATTGCTTTCGGTGTTTACTGAACAATTAAGAGTTCTTAACTGCTGTCCTTATTCTGGTTTTGTTACTGTGTTTGTGTGTATGTATTTACATTTATATAATTTTAGTTGGGTGCTGAAATTAACAACAGTTGGATTTAATTCCTTATGTTTTGCTTTTAAAATGTTTTTTTTTTTAAATTTCAGGTTAGATGTGTATATATATGATTACTTAGTGAAGAGAGATTTAAAAGCTACAGCTCAGGCTTTTCAAGCTGAAGGGAAAGTCTCGTCCGACCCTGTTGGTAAGCTTTGTACAGAGTTTCTTGATTGACTTTTAAGGTTTTGTACAATCCTCAGACCTTCGTTTAACTCTTTTTTCAGCGATCGATGCACCTGGCGGGTTTTTATTCGAGTGGTGGTCAGTTTTTTGGGATATTTTTATTGCAAGGACCAATGACAAGCACTCTGATGTTGCTGCGTCCTATATTGAGGTGCGTTCATTGTTTGTGATCTTTCGTTTTTTTGTGAACTTAGGCTCTGTTTGACATCATTATCTGCGTTATTGTGTTTATGTTGTTTAGAATGAATAGAATGAGAAGCTTTTGACTTGCTTATTTCGCCTGAATGGATGTTACTAACACTATGTTTGGCAAAGGAAGGAAGCGGAGAAGAAGGAAATATAGAAGAAGGAAGTGAAAAGGGAATTCAATTTCCACTGATTTGTTTGGTTGAATGAAATTATGAGGGAGATGAATTAACTTCCCTTGTTTGGTTGGATAGAAATTAGGAAATAAAGTATTTATTAAAATAAAATCGTAATAACACCCTTTCAAACAAAATACATGTAGAACAAAGTCGTTATTTACCTATTAAAAAGTATATTATTTGTAAAATAAATTTATTATTATTGAAACAACAACAACCCAGGTGAATCCCACAACAGTAGGGTCTGGGGAGGGTGTGTGCCCCTACTCGGAAGTAGGGAGGCTGTTTCCAAGAGACCCCCTATTATTGAAAATGTTAAATAAAGTATATATTATTAAAAATGTTTAGATTTATTTTATTAATTACTATTGTAAGTTCATCTAAATAAAGAGGATACTCTGTACATAGCATAGTAAATTCTAGAAATTTAATAATACATCCTAAGAAATTTTCCTTACAGCGAAGGCACACTCATTTCATTATATAATTATTGAAAATTATATTTTTAGATAATAAATTTATTATTATTAAAAAATCAAATAAAGTAAACATTGTTAGAAGTGTTAAAATTTGTTTTTAAAATTATTAGTATAAGGTCATGTAAAAAAATATATACTCCCTCCGTCCACAAATAAAGTTCCCATTGCGCGTTACGATGTTTGACTGAAATTATTTTCAAATCATTTTATATGAAATATGGTATGGAATTAAAAAAATAAAAATAACATATTTAAAAACTACATGAAAAGATCTACAAAACTAGAGGTGACATGACTATATTATTTTATCAAATAAGACACAAAAATAGGCCAACAAAGTGAATAAAGTTTGACCCTGTGAATAGTGAACGGGAACTTTATTTGTGGACGGAGGGATTATAATGTAGTTTATAAAGCTTTTAGTATTTGTGAGGGATGGAGCTATTGGATGGTTAGGGCATGCAGAAACTGAATTGGGAATAGGGAAGGACAGAAGAGACAAAGAAAGTAGAGAGAAAGTTATTTCCTTCTGATTTCATTCCAAAGTTGGGCAGAAATTATTTTCAATTACTTTTAACTTCCCTCCTATTTCCCTTCTATTTAAACTCTTATTTCCCTCCAACGAAACAATAGAAACTTGTCAAAGCTCCCTCCTCCACCTAATTTCCCTTCCACTTTCCTCCAAGCAGACACATCCTAAATGCTCTTCCTTTCAGAACAGTCAGTAACTTCACCCCAATAAATCTAACCAAGATAACAAATGAGCACCTGATCTGAGAGTTGCTTGCCCTCAATATGACAGTTCTAAAAATCACTGCCTGGATCTAAACTGGAAATCTTTGGTTTCTTATACATAGTAGTTTCCCTCTTTGACATGTGTGGAAGTTAGCCATATTCACCAAGGGTTTACTTGGAACATGAAAAATCCAGGGGAAAGAAAATAGGGAGGAAATGCAGGGAAATAAGGATATTTGTTCAAACTCATTTTATTCAACTATTCAAGTATTATCATTGCATAAAGGCTTATGTACACACACATGTATGTATGTATATGTATACATATAGTCTGTGCGTTTGAGCTAAGGGTCTGTTGGAAACGGTCTCTCTTCTTTCTAGTAGGGTCGTAGGGATAAGGTCTTAGTACACACACCCTCCCTAGACCATACTCTTTGTGGGATCTTACTAGGATTATTGTCGTTGTTGTTGTTGTGTGTACATATGCTTACTCTGCCCCATAAAAGTGATAAAACACCTTACACTTTCCTTTTTTGGACTTCCAAACATAACTTTATACTTTATTTCTTATTTTAGCAATGAATATATGTGGCTCATAATATTTATTTCATTTAAACAAATTCTAATCATATACTTTTTACTTTTCAACACTTTTCTGAAATTCCATATAAGTCAAACCGTAACGGGTTTTATGATACAGAGGGCGTATATGTGTAAATTTTCATTAAATTTCTAATTAAATTTGGGTTTGCTTTGTGTGCAGACTCAACTGATGAAAGCAAGGGAGCAACAACAACAACAACAACCACAGCAACAACAATCACAACAACATCAACAACCGCAACAACAGCAACAACAAATACAAATGCAACAACTTTTATTGCAAAGACAAGCTCAACAACAGCAACAACAACAGCAGCATCAACAGCAAACACAATCACAACAGCAGCAGCAACAAAGGAGAGACGGAAACCATATGTTGAATGGAACACCAAACGGAATGGGAGGAAATGACCCTCTTGTGAGACAAAGTCCGGGTGCAAATGCATTGGCTACAAAAATGTACGAGGAAGGATTGAAAGTTCCTGGGCAGAGGGATCCTATGGATGATGCCCCCACGAAGGTATATAATATTTTACTGGATTGTAAGTAGTGTAATAATTAAGTATGCTATCCTTAGTTACTGAACATGTATATTAATCGTTACAGCAAAGGTTTGCTGAGAATTCTAGCCAGCTGTTGGATCCGGCTCATGCTTCCATTCTGAAATCTGCTACTGCTGCAGCTGGCCAGCCCTCGGGGTATAAATGTCAATTGACTTTTTCCTATGTGCTTTTCTGTTTTTTTTACTTTTCCGGTTTTCCCCCATCCTTTTTTACTAATTATAGTTTCATGTGAAATTATAGTTCATTGGCGATTACCTTTTTAAATGTTTGATTGAGGTTTCATTGGCAAAATATAATAAGCACCTTCCTTATTTTCCAGTCAAGTGCTGCATGGTGCAGCTGGTAGCATGTCTCCACTAGTTCAGGCTCCGAGCCAGCAACTTCCAGGGTCTGCACAGGTTAGTGTCATATTAACATTATTTTTTTTAGCATTCATTCTGGATGTGTTCAGAATCCAGGAAATGGCTGGGAGATGGAAAAAAGCTAACCGGAGTAGTTTTAATGGTTGTTTTTACCGTGGAAAATGCATAGAAAAATGGGATTTGATTAAAAACATAGTATTTTTTTACATGTACTCATATTTCATAGTCATTATATAATAAGAAGGGGAGCCTTGGAGCACCATTCGAGGTGTTGCCATGTGACTTGAGGTTACAGGTTTGAGTTCGGGAAGCAGGCCCTTGCAAAAATGCAAGACAAAGCTTGCCTACATAACACTCTTTCATTGGACCCTTGCCATGCAGGGATACTTTGCAATCTTTTATTTCCAAAGTTTCCCTCTATATATTCCTCATTATTTTCTTTATCTAACAGTTTCTGGGTTCCAAACTGACCCTAGAAGTATTTTACTTAATGTAATGCAAATTGCAATTGTATTCCAGGACATAAAGCCTGAAATCAACCCAATGATGAACCCGCGAGCTGCTGGTCCAGAAGGATCATTGGTGGGGATTCCGGGTACATTTTCCACTATAAAGTAACATTAGAAATATTCAGCTATATTGGAATTTATTAATTACTATGCATGAGCCGGGGGTCTATGTGGAAACTGCCTCTCTACTTTCGAGTTGGGGTAAGGTTTGCGTACACACACCCTCCACAGACCCTACTTTTGTGGGATTCAACTGGGTTGTTAATTACTGGGCATCAAAGGTAAAAATAAGACATTATAGCTCTAATTTTGGATGTGTAATGATGTGTTAAGTATGCCAGCACTGATTTTTCTATACGTGTGTTAGGTTCAAATCATGGTGGCAACAATTTGACTTTGAAGGGATGGCCCTTGACGGTAAGTTTATTACTTTATTAGTTTTTTTTGCATTTTTAGTTATTTATGTACTTCTAAACAATAATGCATCGGCTATTATCGTTACTATTTTATCATCGTTAATCACGTTTTTTTATTGATTGAAATAATTGGTTTATAATGATCTTTTTTTAAAGGAGTCTAAATGATCTTTATTTGCTCATTTACATATTGGTTCTACTATTAATCACTAATCTATTAATCATTCAACCTCACCATTACCACTGATCCCAACAAATCAACAAATATTTAAACTTATCAAGAATGTGGAAACTGAAAAACAGTACCTACAATTCACGCCTCGTTTAGATTGACATGTGATTCTTGGGAATTCTCTTGACCCTCCCTGGAATGGAGTGTGATGCCCATGTTTGGATTAAAAAACCCAGAAACACATTTTATGCCCCACCCTTGTAGACCTCAGGCGCTACCAACACTTCTAAATCCAATTGGTTTTAGAAGAAACACATACCCCAGCCTTATAGTGCATTCAACAAATACAAGTACCCACGACATTTGACTATGACTTGGCTCACATAGCCTCCGCCTCGGGACGATTGATGCACATATGGCCAACAACCCCGATCCCTACCCAACGTATGATGGGTTTTATTTGAATCCAAGGAATTGGGTGAGTTTTTGTCATTTCAAATGCAGTTTTATTTCTTAACATTTCAATATACAGCTATGCAATTTTGACCATCAAATCAATCCAATAGAGATCGCAATATATGAGGTCGGACACTTGATGACCTTTGGTGTGCCACATGGTGTCCATTTTAATGACATGTGGGCATTTGACGGATTCTAATATGCTAATCATATTTTTTGCTTCACGTAAAAGATAATTTTTTGTTGTGGTTTACATTGTTTCTACTCTATTTAATAGAGTATCACTTTGGAGAGAAAATCTTTGTTCTCTTTAATTTGAATATAATTCTTCCTTATTTGCATAAACGAACAAATTCCCCTTATACTTACAAAGTTTAAATTCTTCAAAGGTAAAAAAAATAGAGTTTTAATCACCCACAATGATTCATCTCAGAGGATATGAAATGAAGGGGAATAAACCATGCAAGATAATTGGAAAAGATCTAAATCATGATTTTCCACCATATTACGTGTGCCAATTGTGGCATTTTTCCCGAAATGCATTTTTAGGACTTCTCACCCTGACTGAGGATATGGCTTTAGATAGGAACTTTTAGAGAACTAGGATTAGAGTAGCTGGATAGGAGCTCGGTGCTGCAGAGGTTTTTTGTAGTGTGTTGTGTTTGATTGGAATCTTTTGCTATTGCTTGCAGGACTTTCATATCATTGTACTTGGTGCTTTATCCGTGTTATACTGTGTTCCCTACCATATTTTTTGTGCAGGTTGAGCTGGGAGTCTCTTGGAAACAGCCTCCCTACTTCCGAGTAGGGGCAAGGTCTGCGTACACACACTCTCCCCAGACCCTACTGTAGTGGGATTCAACTGGGTTGTTTTTTTGTTTCCCGAAATGCATTTTTACTCCCTTTAGCACATTAGGGTTTTGTCTAGCAAAACCAAGACATTATCGTGAAACGTTGTGATGATGAGTATTTGTTCCCAATGACAAGTCAGAAACTCTTTGGTTGTGTCCGGAAGGTGTGTTGGAAATTTCCATTTGAAGGATTTTGTGGGTTATGGATGCTATTCCAATTCAAAGTTTCAGTACAATGTGATGAGAATCGAGATAGTGGTGAAGCAATTGAGACCGTTTCGGGGGAAGGGATTTCTTTGTCCGTAATGACTCTAGGCCTCTTTGTTTGGTATTTTGTTCTGGAACAAGCTGAATAAGTAACTTCTGACTTGAATGGATGAAGTAAATGTTACCAAGTGATTTAATTTACCCTTTGAAAAATCCAACAAATCCAGCCATTTCAGCCTATTAACACTTTCCAAATGGGCCCAAGATTGGTTAATGCTGTGAACCCTGTTTGAAAGTGTCTAGATTGAATGCCTGTAGGCTAGCATACTTGTCTCTTTGCCGGGCTGTCAGTTGTTGGTCAATCCCAACTCTCTAACGTGAGATGTTGTGATGTGTCTCGGATTATTTTCAGTATCTTCTGACATTCAAACTTATAAATTATAATTTATAAATATCCTCCTTTCTGAGGGTGGACATGCTTTAATCGAAACCTTAATTCAAGTCATTTAATTTGATCATTCTCTTTCTCTCTCTACCCCGAATCGCAAATCCATCACAACTTTACACAAGTCTTTTTAAAATAGTGGACAGTGGTAGAGAAACATTAACTCATTCTTTAAAAGGAAATACAATTTCTCTCCAAAAATGGGTGGACTATTGGAGGGAGATGAGAATGAAACCCACGATTAAATAAATAAAGGATGAGAATGGAACCCGCGATTCACCAATCACTAACCAATACCTAAAATGGAACGTAAAAAATTCAAATTGATAATCAAGGATAACTGAGTTAATACAAGGCCATGGATGGCTATTATGTTATTGGGTGGAGTATTCACATCAACGTGTCGGATTTATGAAGGATGTCGGTGAATGAGGCAGTCACATTTGGTGTGAGAGTGGACATGGATAAATGTGCTTTGGGAATGGCAAGTAACAGAAGAACTTTAAGGAATGGTAAGGAATTTATGGAGTGGATTCGACAAGTTACAGAAGATTGGTGAGGAATTTTATGGAGTTCCTTTCTTCATTTCCCCACTCAATTTGATCTTATTTCCTTATTAACAACCCCACTTTATGATAAGGGATGCGTACTAGTGTAACGTAACCAAGCCTCTGTCCAAGCTTTGCTTTTGGTGTGTACTGGAAAAATAATCTACATATGAATTTTTAAGTAAAGATTCTACACATGGCTTTTATTTGTGCTATTTGTAGTAATATTACTCCTATGCACCATAAATACCCCCACACCGCAATTATTGTATACACAATTGGTAATATTTATGTGCATTGCTTAGATCCCAGTATCCCACTGCCAGTTTGGGTAAACTAGGAATTCCTGTCTTCTATATTTAGTTAATATTGAAACCATTTCTAATCTCTTCCACTGATGCCACCAATGAGCCTTTTCACGATTTTGAACCATACACACACACACACACACACACATATATATATGTATGTATGTATATGTATGTATCAGAAGTCTCCAGCATCAGAAGTCTTATATGCAACTCCCTTGGTTCTTATGTCTGTGCTTTGTTATGCAGGGTTTGCAGAGTTTTGATCAGCTTCAGCTTCGTTCTGGAATTCTCCAGCATCAGAAGTCTTATATGCAGGGCCCACAGCCTTCCTTTCATCAACTACAAATGCTGTCACCACAGCATCAGCATCAGCTGTTACTCGCTCAGCAAAATTTAACGTCATCCTCTGCGGGTAGTGATGCAGAGAGCAGAAGGCTGAGAACGATCTTCAATAACCGGAACATGCCTATGGGGAAGGATGGTCTCTCAAATCTGGTTGGTGATGTTCCAAATATGGGCCCAGTTCAGAATATGGGATCACCTTTGCAGGTTGGTTGCTCTGTTTTGCCTCGTGGTGGAGATTCGGATATGTTAATGAGGGTACTCATTCCTTCTTACTTCCTCTGCCCTGTATCTTTCTAAACGTTTTTATTTTAGAGTGTCCTATATCTTTCTTTCCCTTTCCTTTAATGGATAATTTGTTCTCCTTTTTTACAATTAAAACATTACTTCACCCTTACTTTGCATTATTCACCTTTATAAAATATCTCTTCAATTTACTCTGCCACCGGGAAAAAGATGAAAAGACAACCATCTATTCTTCTTACATTAAAAGCTTGCCAAGTGAAAACCAGAAGAACGATATCCTAAGGAGAAAGCAGCTCTTTTTTGTTCAAGAATCAAGACCTCCAATAGACTCTCTCTACTGATACAAGTAGTTGAATTTTGCCATTGCACTGGGCTAGTAAAAGAATTACAATCAAGTAAAATCGCTAACACTGTTGACAATAACTGTTACATAAGTTTATATTACAAATGACCTGGTCTTATGTATTCTCATGTGACTTCTAATTTTTTATATGCATAGTTAAAATTGGCACAGTTGCAGCAGCAACATCCACAAAATGCACAGCAGCAACTCCAGCAGCATTCACTTTGTAGTCAGCAACCACAAAGTTCAAACCCCAGTCTTCAGCAAGATAAAATTATGGGATCCGGAGGTGTTACTGGGGATGGCAGCAATTCAAATTCTTTTCGGGCAAATGAACAGGTTCTCAAGTTTTAGTTTCCAGTTAATTAACTTAATTAACACTGTTTATAACATTCAGCTGAATCATAGATAAGAAAATGTTCACTTTTGGTTTCTGTTTTTTTCTTTCCATTTTTGATGTATAACTAAATTTTATGCCACATTTGGTCTTTTCTAGTTACTTATCCGGCAGAAATCAGCCGGAAATGGGACATTGATTGGCCGGGTAAGTGATCAAAAAGACCAGAAGTGGGAAGAAAACCCGATCATGTCCTGAAAGTCGAATAAATTAAAAGTTATGAACCAAAGCAGGAATGACCTAATAGTCAGGGACTAGAAGTGGAAAATCTCCTTTGGGGTAATGGTAACTCATTTTGACCTAATATCACAATATGCCTAATAGTCAGGGACTAAAAGTAGAAAATCTCCTATGGGGTTATGCATTTTGACCTGATATCACACTATTCTATCGGTGTCATTTGCATAATTATGACTTGTGAAGGGACGTGTTACTACTTTTCATACACCTGATGGCTCTTTTTGTAGGATAAAGACATACTCCCTCCGTCCCTAAAAGAATTTCCTTCTTTGATCAACGTGCAAAACCCTGGGACTTTTAAAAAGATTTTATTTACAAATTGATAAAGAAATAAAAAATTAAAAGTTTATATTTAAAAAACTACATAAAAACTTTACAAAATAAGAGATGACAAGAATATTTTATTTTATCAAATGATCAATGAAAACATGCAAGTAAATAAGAGTTATCGAGAGACCGTAATAGTAAACAACTCTTTTAGGGACGGAGGGAGTACTTGTTAACAGATTTCTAACAAGGACTTTGCTGCCCTTTTTTAAGGTTCCAAAAAACCAGAATGGGAGAAAAAGGAAACAAACAGTCTCATCTTCTGGACCTGCAAATAGCTCTGGGACTGCAAACACAGCTGGGCCTTCCCCTAGTTCAGCCCCATCCACACCGTCCACTCACACTGCTGGAGATGCAATGTCAGTTCCTCCAATGCAACATAGTGGCAATTCTTCAAAGCCATCAATGATGTTTGGAACCGATAACAATGGTGCTCTTACCTCACCTTCTAATCAGTTGGTAAGCACTAAATTTGTCATAAACTCTTGATAGAAACTTGTCCAAAAGAAAACTCATTTTACTATATTTGTTAGAGTCCGTTTGAGAAGATTAGAAAATGCAATAGTTAACGAGATAAATTTCAGCGGAAATTAAATATCGGAATAAATCAATTTTAGATATTTGGCCAATCACGTTTTATTTATATATTTCTGTTGTATAAAGACTAAGAGCAGTTTCTCTTCGTTTGATGTGAGTGGATCTGATCTACTTTAGTAAAGTCTTAATATGATTCAAGTTACTATGTATATCTAAAGTTGTTTCTGATCTGGTATGATCTGGTGTGATTTGATCCGAATAAGAATAAGTAATACTTCGTACGTTAACAATATAAGTTGAAGATAACAAGCTCTAAGAATGGTAAATAAATATAAATCTTCTAAGACTTCAGATAAAAAAAGTTCTACGTATTTCCCAAGCAAAACCAAAAAAGAAGGATTTTTATGTGAACTCTTATTGCCTTATTGGTTTTACCATTATTTATAGTTATTCTTTTCTTCTTATTTTCCCAAATAATTTTTTTCCAGACCGTACTCTTTGTGGGATTTTAGTAGTCTTTTTGTTGTATTTTCTCAAGTAAAACCAATGCTGTTTTCTGCATTCCAAACAAAAAGCTTTAGTGCACTATTTGTGTGTTATTTTTGGCAGTGGGATGGAAAAGATGTTGTGCAGGCCGATATGGATCGTTTTGTGGATGATGGTTCTCTTGATGATAATGTTGAATCTTTTTTATCTCCCGATGATGCTGACCCAAGAGACACAGTTGGCCGTGGTATGGATGTCAGTAAAGGTGATCCTGCTTCTAGTACTATTTTTCATGATTTGCTACTTTCTTTCATGCTTAAGTGTGTTTTTAACCCCAGTAAATATATTGTATTTTGTTTTTTGTCTGTAAAATGGTTTTTTGTTACTCCTCCCAGTAACCTGTGTGTTTTCTTTTAGTCCCCTTTCTTCTACCTTATTCTAGGTGGTTTTTTCACATCATGCTTTTTCAAAACAACAACAACAACAACCCAGTTAAATCCCACAAGAGTAGGGTCTGGGGAGGGTGTGTGTACGCAGACCTTACCCCTACTCGAAAGTAGAGAGGCTGTTTCCAAAGAGACCCCCGGCTCAACGTCGAAAGTTGCATTGCTTGACTAACTGCTACTTCATTAATTAAAGAAGCGCAAACAGTTTAGAGATCCATTTTGATTTATTCCATCACACCCCAAAGTCAAAAAATGGTGAAATTTTGGCTCCATTGGAGATGATGAAAAAAATGCTTTTTCAAAAAAGAAAGAAAGAAGAGGACTAGTAGGTACTTGGTGCTCTAAAATGTACTCCCTCCGTTCCTTAAAACGGTTCTTGTTTTGGCTTTGGGGCAAAATAAGGAAAGTGTAATTTTAGTTGACTTTCCAATTTTGCCCCTGATGTGATGGGTAAAAGTAAGATGTGATAGTTTAGTTATTAGTGAAAAAGTATGATGTGATAGGTAGGGTATGAAAAAGTAGGGGTAAAAGTGGTTTTTTAATAGAAAAAGGAAGTGTTTTAAGGAAAACAAAAAATGAAAGAGGAAGGGTTTTAAGGAACGAAGGGAGTATATTCTACTGGGTTATTCGAATGAGTCTGATGTGAAGAATTTGCAACCTTTAGGGTTCACGTTTACCGAAGTAAACTCGGTTCGTGCAAGTGTGAGCAAAGTTGTCTGCTGCCACTTCTCGTCAGATGGAAAACTGCTAGTGAGCGGTGGCCATGATAAAAAGGTGAAAAACATTCTTGCCCAACTGCCCAAGTAAAGAGCTATTGAAGTTTCTAGGTGTTTCACAACTTCAAAGGTTTTCACAAATTTTGATTTGATTGTTTGGTGATGCAGGCTGTTTTGTGGCATACTGACACCTTAAAGCCAAAAACAACACTTGAAGAGCACTCCTCACTCATAACTGATGTTCGCTTCAGTCCAAGCATGGCCCGCCTTGCAACTTCTTCTTTTGACAGGACTGTTAGAGTTTGGGGTGCTGACAATGTAAGCCAAAATTATACTCCTTCCGCCCATAAAGAGAGTCCAATTTCACGAATGTACAAATTTTTAATATTAGCAGGTCACACCAAGTTAAAATATCTATAGTAAACTACAAACTACGAAGTATATTTTTAATTTTTTTTATTAAACTAAATATGACATGTCATACTTTTTCATAAAAAACATTGAGTATAATGAATATGTCCTTTGTCCCAATTCATTTGCTCACTTTGACTTCCCAAAGATAAAGGAAAGTGTCGAAGGGGGACCTTTGCGTGAATGATCTCACCGCAGATATGGTACATGATAGAGTGCAATGGCGTCGTTTGATCCATGTAGCTGATCCAACGTAGTGGGATAAGGCTTTGTTGTTGTTGTTCTTTTCTAAAAAAGGAAAGAAGGTGATAAAATTATTTTGGGACAAAAGGAAAAGGAAACAAAGAACTTTTGTGGGACGGATGGAGTATTTGCTTCTTTTCTTGAATATACTTTCTTTTGGGATGAAAGGAAAAGGAAACTGGGAAAACTGTTGTGGGACGGATGCAGTATTTGCTTCTTTTTTTGAACATACTTTCTTTTGGGACAATAAAATGTCATGAAACAACTCAACAATACTCTTTTTTAATTTTTATGTGATGGGAGAGTATTTGTTCATTGAGTGGTGATTACGTGCACCCAAGATCCACGTCTAATTCCTGGACCTTCTCACAAAACAAAATTGGGCTTAGAAGCTAATGTGGAAAAGCCCCGTTTAACCCAAGCTAATCCCCTCATCTTAGTACTAATCCTAATCCCCTCATCTTAATCCTATTCCTTATCCCTTAATTTTAATCTTAATTTTAATCCTAATCCTAATCTTAATCCCAATCCCAATCATAATCCTTGTCGGGATTCCCTAATCTTAATCCTAATCCTAATCCTAATCTTAATCCTAATACTAAAAGTCCACATCAGCAAGGTTCATATAATTGGAATGGACTTGAAGACCATGGAAGTATTTGCCTTGTTTATTTTTGCCACGAGTTCATAAAACTAATTGCACACATGATTTCTTTTTGTTTTGTAGGCTGAATTATGGTTTTTTGTTCCTGAAAATATGGCATTTGTTTGCTTTAGGTTCCATTATAAATATCTTTATTCACTTTTGAAAGTTATTATTATTGTTTTTTTAAATAGATGTTGGTGTAAAGGAACTAAAAATAAAGTTTTGTAAATAACCATGAGTGTCAAAAAATAATTTTATGTGAACCTAAAATTAGGGGATCAAGACTATGTAGAGGGATGTGGGCTTTGCAAGAAGCATTTGTTCATAGTTACTTTCTTCAACACTTTTTTTTAATTGGAATTGTGTTTGTGTTTTTAGCCTGGATACTCGCTTAGGAATTTTACGGGGCATTCTGCTAGTGTGATGTCACTTGATTTCCATCCCAATAAAGAAGATCTGATTTGTTCCTGTGATGGGGATGGTGAGATCAGGTATTGGAGCATCAACAATGGCAGCTGCACGCGAGCAATCAAGGTGCAATGTTGTATTTTTTAAAGATAAATATTGTGTTTTAACATCATGTTATATTTAGAAAGTTTGGTTCAAAGAATTATGGAAGAAAGGAAAATGCTAAGGAAAAGAAAAGAAAGTCTACAAAATAAAAAAATCTTAATCTTGTTTGTGGTGAGTAGAGAAATTAGTGAGGAAATTAATTTTAGCAAGTTCTTTGTTTGGTTGTAAAAAAAGCAAAAGAAGACATTATTCAAAAAGAAGGAAGGGCGGGGTTGGAGGAGTTTACTGTTTACTCTCCCTGTTGGCCTTTCCTTGCAAAAGTGGGAGGAAAAATCACATTTCCCTTTACATTTTCCTTTTCTTTTCCCCTATAACGAAACACCAGATTTGAATTTCCTTAGTATTTTCTCTTCTTTTCCCTTCTGAATTCCTTGAACCAAACATAGTGTAAAGGTTTCTTGTCACTTTCTCTAGAAAAAAATCAGCTGGATTATGTGGTCGAAGGGCAGACTAAAAGTAGCAACGAATTCAAAGTTGTGTGCTAGAAGTGGATAAAATGAAAGTCAAAGACCAAAACTGATCATCAATGCATAAACAGACAGACAGAATGTTTATTATTTGATATCATGACTGTCATTTTGTCATCTGGAACAGGGAGGGACCGCACAGGTGAGATTTCAGCCTCGTCTCGGCAGGTTTCTTGCAGCGGCTGCTGAGAATGTCGTGTCCATTCTTGACGTGGAAACGCAAACATGCAGGCAGACATTAAAGGTGAGCTCTTAACATCCGTGTCTCTTTTTCTTTCACCTTCTTTATAAAGGAAAAGATTGCGCAGTCTGTTTTATTTTTCTTTCCTTTTTACACAAACCACACAATTATCTTCTTGTATGAGCTTCATCCTTCAGTTAATAACTGATCTATTGGGTCCATTGGGCAGGGTCATACAAAACCTATTCACTCTGTGTGTTGGGACCCATCAGGGGATCTCCTTGCTTCAGTTAGTGAGGACTCTGTCCGAGTGTGGATGCTAGGTTCGGGAAACGAAGGGAATTGTGTGCATGAACTCAGCTCAAACGGCAACAAGTTTCACTCTTGCGTTTTTCATCCTTCCTACTCATCATTGCTTGTTATTGGCTGTTATCAGGCAAGTGTTATCATTCATAAACTATCTTTTTCATATTTATACACTTGTAGAATAGTACAGCCTTTTCTACTCTAGGTATATATTCTACATGTGCCGGGTTGGATTATTCTACGACTCTATAGAAATTGTCCAACATAGTAAACTTAGAGATAAAAAAAACTAGGAGTATTTATGAATGCGAGTTACTCCCATGACCAAAATGGTATTAGCGCTAATAAGTGACAAGCTGAGTAAAAAAGGACAGAAGAATACGAGTTATTGCTCTCATGGCCAATTGGTTTTGGTTGGAATTCTGCGCATATGAACAAGAAGCTTATACGATGTGACTTCTCATTTCCCCCTTCTCATTTGGTGGCGTTTGTTGCAGTCTCTGGAGCTATGGAACATGACGGAGAACAAAACGATGACACTCCCAGCACACGAAGGATTAATCGCTTCGTTGGCTGTATCCACAGCGGCGGGTCTGGTCGCTTCAGCCAGCCATGACAAGATCATTAAGCTTTGGAAGTAAACAAAAAAATATGCAGGGGGCATTTCCGTCTTTTGCTTTTGTTCTTTGACCCACTTGTTGTATCTTCACCCACAAACTATATTTATTAGACAGTGTTTTCATCTTTGATCTGTATGTCTTGTGTTTACTGTTAGATTTGTTTTTGTTTTTTCAGTGTAACTTGATCACTTCTGTACTCGGACCAAAACAAAAAATTAATTTCATCTGTGATATTTGAAAACTATGTAGTATTGGTGTAACATGTTCACTGTATGATTTTATATATACCTCATGGACCATATGAGACATGATTTCTTCCATACAAGACAAATAGTTATTTTTGGGGTCCCTATGGTGTAGCTCATCTGATCCAAACATTGAATGTTTGTAAGAGGTGGGTTAAATATTTGGGTCAAAATAGCATTTTGCAAATGTTTAACTTATGTTTTTTTATAGAAAAAAGATTAACCTATGTTTGAATTCTTAGGAAAAAAATGCTGGGATACACGAAAAAGTATTCAATGAGTGCATAAAGAATGTATGGCGATACATGTGGTGTCCTATTCCTAACATTACTCTTTTGAGATTAAGCATGAAGTTCTTGCATATAATTGGGACAAATTTATTGTCTCATCAAGATTAAGTTCACAGGGTCAATTTAATTTTTTTTAATTTACTGTTTGAGCCGGTATCAGGAGAGATAGTAGCAAGGTTATAACCTTTTCCTNTGGGAGTTACCCAATCCTTTGTTCTTTATACCATGGGCAATGTTGAGTAGGGGCAGGCAAGAATCTTGAAACTATTGTTCTGACATGAAATATACTGATCCCGTCTCTATAATATTTCGTTTTGTTAGGGATCACAAAATTTTGTCTCAAATCTTTCCGAACTGTTTTAAAATTATACAAAAATAGGATATATAAGTATTTTCTTATTCCGTCACGTTGTCTCGTTTAGATGTGTGTGTGTGTGTGTGTATGTATATATATATAATGATATATTGTTAGTCCATGTGCTCATGCCTTAGAGGGGATGAATAAGGCGTCGAAAAACTTTTCGTAGTTTAATAAAATTGGTGTTGGCAAATACAGAAGCAATGAAAAATACACCAAATAAAAGCATAAAGGAAAGATAACAATTTTAGACTGGTTCCGGAAGTCCCTACTCCAACACCTTAAGACTCCTTAAGAATTTCTGAATTCACTAAGTCCTGGCCTTTCGAACTTCGTCAAAGCACCATACTAGATTTGGCAAACAACCTTGCTGATATGACTAACTCTGAGATTCCACAACGGCTATCTCAAACTCTTTACAAAAAAAATTCACGGCTATCTCCGATCGCTCCCACAATGATGTGAATGCTATCCTTGAATCTTTTACTCAATGATTTTCGGCTATCCTTTACCGTTACAGGTGAGGATTTAACAGCTACTCCCGATCGTAAGAAGGTGTGTTTGAGAACACAAAAAGAAGTTCTACACGATGGCTTTACAGAAGGATGAAGAATAAGACCTAGCCGATGTAGAACAAAACTATACTCTCTAGAAAATATACAAGATCAACCTATAGATATGAGAGCATATACGTAGACCACAAGCTCAATAGTGCGTGTATAAAAAATAGGAGAAAAATGGCTCTTGAAATAGCCAAAAGAATAAGAATGAAGAACAAAAGGATGATGAACACACTTAGAATATGAAATATGAAATTTGGGAGCTTGGGTTGTTGTTAAAAATGATGATTTATGGCGTTATTTATAATTAAGAAAGATTAGTGAACGTTGATGACCATTTAAGAGTGATAAAGGTGGGTCAAAGATGATAACAATTACTTCCTCCGTCCCAAATTATAATGCATGTTTACTATTCACAGTGGCAAACTTCATTTACTTTCTTTCTCTATTTTCATTAGCAATCTGATAAAATAAAATATTATTGTCACTACTAGTTTTGTAGATCTTTTGATGTAGTTTTTTAATATGTAATTTTTATTTTTTAATTCTATACCATTTGTCATATAAAATGGTTTGAAAATAATTTCAGTCAAACATCGTAAACCGAAACAGGCGTTATAAAATGGGACGGAGGTAGCAAGGCGGAACCTAGGATTTTAGTAAAATGACCGTAACTTCTTCAATACTTATCGAAATTGGGTGATTAAAAAACCGGCAATCTCGTATCAAATTCAGAAAATATATTTTTTGAAAATATTTATTTGATTATTTTACCAAAAACTAAATACCCAACAAAAAAATTTTGTGAAAAACAATCTTCGTTCCCCACATTGAGAGCTATTGAAGTTTCTAGTTTGTTCACAACTTCAATTGTTGTTCCTCACTGATGTTGATTTGATTGTTTGGTCATGCAGGCTGTTTTGTGGCATACAGCTGATACCTTAACGCCAAAAACAACATTTGAAGAGAGCATTCCTCACTTATAACTGATGTTCGCTTTAGTCCAAGCATGGGCTACTTTGCAACTTCTTCTTTTGACAAGACTGTTAGAGTTTTGGATGTCCACAATGTAAGCTAAAATTACTCTTTCGGTCCCATAAAGAGACCCCTATTTCACAAATGTACTTTTTAAGATTAGTAAGTCACACCAATTTAAAGTATCAATAGTAAACTATTTTTTTATTTGTTTTTTTCTTTAACTAAATATGACATGTCATTAACAAACAATTGGGTAGAATGAATACTCCTTCAGTCCTAAATTAATTTGCTCATTTTGACTTCATGTAGATTAATAAATGTGTTGAAAATATTTTGAAAAGATGTTGAATAGTGAAAAATGACCCATAATTAATTAGAACAAAGAGAAGTATTTTGGATTGCATTCTTTTCTAAAAAAAGATCGAGAAATTGTGAAAATTGTATTGGGACGAATGAAAAAAGAAATTGAGAAAACTTTTGTGGGACAGATACTTTTTTCTTGAATACTCTTTCTTTTGGGACGATGATATGTCAAGAAACAAGACTTTTTTTATGTGGCGGGGGGGATTTTTTTTTTGCCACAAGTTCATAAACCTTATTGCACACATGATTTTTTTTGTTTTGTGTGCTGAATTATGTTTTGTAGGCCCCTCTATAAATATCTAAATTCAATAGTGCAAGTTACTTTTATTATTATTATTAGTTTATAAGTATTATTATTGTTGTTGTTGTTATTTCAAATATAGATTGACGTAAAGGAACTAAAAATAAAATATTGTTAATGACTATCATGAGTGTCAAAAAAATAATTTTGAATGAACCTAAAATTAAGGGAAAAAAACCAAATGTGGAGGGACGTTGCCTTTGCGAGAAGCTTCTGTTCATGGGTTCTTATTTTCTTCAACACTGTTTTCTAATCGGACCTGATCTGTTCCAACAACAAAGAAGATCTGATCTGTTCCTGTGACGGCAATGAAGAGATCAGGTATTGGAGCATAAAAAATGGCAGCTGCACGCAGGCAATGAAGGTGCAACATTGTGTTTTAACATCATGTTATAATTAGAAAGTTTGGCTCAAGGAATTACAGAAGAAGGGAAAATGCTAAGGGAATGAAAGTCCAAGAAACCATTTCTTTCACCTTTTTAGAGGAAAAGATTATGTGGTCTATATACGTACTTATTATATACTCCCTCCGTCCCAACAACATCATTAAGCTTTGGAAGTAAACAAAAAAATATGCAGGGGGCATTTCCGTCTTTTGCTTTTGTTCTTTGACCCACTTGTTGTATCTTCACCCCAAATTATTTGAACTCTTCTGAACTGAGTCCAAAACAGAATTCTAATTTCATCTGTGATATTTTGAAGAATTTGTAGTATTGGCAGATATAACTTGTTAACTACTCCTCATATGCCCGCCACGCCATGCCACATCAGCTTTGCCATGTTTGAATGCTCCATTCCTCCATGCAAGGCATGTGTTGTGCGAGGCAGCCTTCTTTTTTTTGTAGATAAAAAGGTTTTTTTTTAAAAAAATGAAGTGCATATATTTTTATGAAAAAAAAGATAAGTAAAAAAAATTTATAATTAAAATACTCCCTCCGTCCCAATTTATTTGCAACACTTCGAACGACGTGCAAAATATCTTCTCTTTTAAAATCACTTTAATTTCAAATTGGTAGAGTAATTAAAAGTAAAAATTACACCATTCAAAAGTATATGAAAAGCTCTACAAAACAAGATGCGACAAGAATATTTTATTTTATCAAATGGTCAACCAAAACGAGTAAACAAACAAAAGTTATTGAGAGGCCAGAATAGTAAACGTGACATTCTTTCTGGGACGGAGGGAGTATGTCACAAAAGTGTAAAAAATAACAAAAATAATTACTTGTCACTACACGACATGCCACTCACCCACTCACCACACGGTGACTGGATTCTTTTTGATTGGTTGAAATGCTCTATTTCACTGTGTAACATTCCATTTTTTTATTTACCATTGCCAATGCTCTAAGCTTCCATAACTTTTATATGCACGCCAATTCACGGCGGATTGGGTGTCAATTCTCATTCATCATAGGGGGATTAAATAAGCTTCATTGCTTGTTGATCAAATTCAGTTGCATGCATGTTATCGTTCTTCCAATATCTTGAAAGGTCCCATGTGAATTGCGACTTGTTAGCAAGACAGTGTCACTAAGAAAGAACGATAACATGCAAGCAACTGTAAATATAAAATTCAATTTATTTGACTGTGATTGTAAAATTCAAAAATGAATTCATACATAAGATGTTCATAAAAAGTAGGCGACAAGACTATTATCTATTAACAAACAAATAGTGAAAATAAATAGAGTGAATATAATTTGGCTATATGAATAGTATTTGGTTCATTCACTTTTGGAACGAGTAACTATATAAGATTTGCTTCTTTCAATGTATATATAGTAAGGACTTTAATAAATACTTCATTCCTCTAGTAATTTTTCATCTTAATCTAACTTAACATAATTTTTAATAAAGTAAAATGAGTAGGCACATATATGATTTCATTGATTTGTGTGTAGAGTAAAAAGAAGACATTAGGCCACACAATCATTTCATTAAAAGGAAAGCAATTTTTCACAACAATCCAAAAAGAAAAGTAAGAAGATAATTATGAATTGAGTATTTCACATTCTTTTCATTTTAAATTTTATTTTTTCTCTTTGCATAAAATACTCTTTTTGTTGCTGAAAACCACACACTCTCTCTCTCTTTCAAAAAAAAATCTCCAAATTGGGTGCGAAACAAAGTTTAAGAAAAGTGAAATTGCATAGTTGAAAGTAACGCAGAAAAGAGAAAAATATGCTGAACCACACAAAATTTGCCATAAATGGAAAGATGAGTCTTTTTTGGAATATTGTGAAGAAATGAGGAATCTTTTTTTTTGAGACAGATGCACTATTACTTCTTTCTTTTTTGTGAACGTCTCCACTCACCAAATTCTAACCATATTTGTTTTTCAACATTTTTTGAACTCCATAAAAATCAACACACAAAAAATCTATTGCAGAACGAAGAAAATAAAATTGATGAATATATTATGGGGAATTTACCCGGGACTAATACATAATGAATTTCACAATATAGGATCATATGCTTTTATTTCCTAATGTAGAACCATTAGTCATTATTTAAATAAATGTTCACCATCCTTGAACATTATTCCTCCCACTAGACATTATAAAGTACTCCTTCCGTCCCACAAAACCCTTCCTTTTTCTTTTTTCATCCATCCCAAAAAACACTTCTTTTTTTCCTATTAAAAAGTCACCTTTACTCCTATTAATTTTTAACCTACCTATCACATTACACTTTTTCTCTATTAGTCTACCCATCACATCTTACTTTATCAATCACATCAAAGGGTATTTTTTGGAAAGCTAACACCAAAATACATCCTCCTTAAATCTTTTAAAAATCAAAACGAGAAGTTTTTTAAAAGATGAAGAAAGTATTATTTAGGGAATAAAAATGTTTAAGTGATGTTCGTCATAGATGGCATCAAACATGATGGATCATTTGGCATACACATCAAACATGGTGTGAAATAGTGATGGATCACATCAAACATGATGTGAAATAGTATAAAGAGTCGCGATGGATCATCAAATATAATAACAGCCTAAAAATGCCTATACGGCATGCATTTCAAAAAGTCTAAAATGGCTAGTTGGTAGAATTGTCTCCATTAATCATCCCTTTTTTAAATTTGATTTAATCTAATCGGCGCCTCTTTTACTATTTTTCCAAACTAAGCGTCTTCTCTCCCAACTATATATATATATATATATATAGACACGCAGAGTAATTAAGTTAAAACAAATCAAATCAAAGACTAATTAACTAATTAGTGAAAGATATAATATAATGACGACGATGAAGGGAGCCGCCATGGCAACACTTTCAGAAGCTTACAAAGAACACCCACCCATTGATCCCCAACACATTATCCCTTTGGACTTTCAAGCAATCCGCCAAGTCCCCACCTCTCATCTATGGCCCCATCAAACCCATGATGAGGAACACGCGCCATCGTCACCGTCGTCGTCGTCGATAGTACCCGTGATTGACTTATTGGACCCCGCGGCGGGGGACCTCATCGGACGAGCGTGCGAGGCGTGGGGGATTTTCCAGGTGGTCAACCACGGCGTCCCCTCGTCGCTGCTCGACGAGGTGGTGTCCGAGGCGACCCGCCTCTTTGCCCTCCCGGCCCCGGTCAAGAACCGGGCCCTGAGGACCCCGGAGGGGGCCACCGGGTACGGGGTCGCCCGGATTTCACCCTTTTTTGCCCAGTTGATGTGGCATGAAGGGTTTACTATTATGGGATCACCCGCTGCTCATGCTAGACTACTTTGGCCGGATGACTACCAACACTTTTGGTATGTATACACTTGATGGTCCTTAAATGTTTATCTCATTTCAAAAAACGAGGCAAAATATCAAGTTTTTTAAATTTATTTTTTTAAATATTAGTATTGAAATAAAAAATACTCTCTCCGTCCCATGAAACATGTGACTTTTACTTTTTAGGAGGGATTTAAGGAGACTGTATTTTGGTATTGAATTTCCAAAAATGTTCTTTGATGTGATGCGTAAAAGTATGATTTGATGAATAGATTATTAGTAAAAAAGTATGATGTGATAGTTAGGGTATGAAAAAGTAAGGGGTAAAAGTGATTTTTTAATAGAAATGAGAAGTGTTTTGTGGGACAGATAAAAAAAGAAAGGGAAAAGGTTTCATGAGACGGAGTGAGTAAAATTTACATATTTAAAGACTACATGAAAAATTCTTCGAAATGAGGGATGTTAAGAACATTTTATTTTATCAAAAAAACGTACAAATAAATAAAAGTTTTAATGACATTTGACGAAACAAATGTGGGAAATATTTTAAGAGAGAGGGAGTATGTGTGTACCTCTCCCTCATGCGTAATATCAGTCAAACTCTATCTCTTTCTTTGATTAGGTCATTAATTATATGAGATTCACTAGATAGAGAAAATATAAACCGTCCATAATTTTTTTCATATACTCTATCTTTCCTATAATGTTCTTCCCGGTTCTGTTTACAAAATTTGACCGACTTTATTTTTAATTTAATTTATTTGATTGTAGGTGTAAAATTTAAAAATAAAATTTATATATTTAAAAACTATATCAAAATTTCTACAAAACAATACTATATTATTTTATCAAATACCTAATGAAAATAGATAAAGAAAGTGATTAAAGTTTGACCGTGTGAATAGTAAGTGGGAAAAACATTTCAAGACGGAGGGAGTAGCATGTTATGACTTTTGACGGGAATTATTTTGTATTTCTTTTATATGAAAATCGGTGTGATATTTGAAAATAAAAATTATATACGAATATACTCTTTACATCCTATTAAACTTTCTCACTTTGAAAAAAAATGACATTATATTTAAGAAATATATAACTTTAGAGGTACTTTCTAATTTTTTTATTATTTTATAGTTCGTAATATGATAGGATATCTGGATTAATATCTAAAGTACTTCATATTAGTGAATAGATATTATGTAATAATAGACAACAAAAATTGGCAAACAAAATGAGTAAAATTTGATAACATGAATCGTAAATGAGAAGAAAATTCATAGATTGAGAGAGTAATATATTACAAAAATAATTAGGATTATTCGAATGTTTTACTACGTACTAATCATAAAGGTTATTCTAAAATGAAGCTATAAGCGAAAATATTTCTAACTTGATTGATAATATGGAGTATTTCTTACTCCGCATTTTGTAGTTTTGTTAGCTAGAATCTTAAGAGTGATTGGACTTGGGCGTGCGTGCACGTTCGTTAGTTAGCCACCTCGGAAAGAATATACGGGACTAAAAAAATACAAAAATAAAATTTTCATACTTTTATTCTCAAAATAAAAGTTACTCGTAAAATTTTATAATGTCAATATATTATTATTCAAAAATACTGTGTAATCGGCATAGAGTGTCACACTATTACAGCGTGTAAATTCTTGTTTTGAAATAAAAAAGTAAAACTTATATTTTTACACTTTATTTATATTTTATTCATACTTTGTGTGATTTATTTTTGGATTGTTCTTTCACGATTCTTTATGAAATGTAGATACTTTCATATTTTTCAAAAGTTGTCAAGTAGATCTTTTCTTTTTGTAAAACATTCAATATTTTAATAATATGACTGTACTAAAATTAATAAAATAAACATGAATCTTATCACCCAGATAAGAATTCGTCTATATATTCTTATTTCTTATCTTAATTATTTTTATGTGTACTCCCTCCGTATATATTACCCTTCGCATATTCATTTTCTTATTTGGAAAAAATAATATGGTGTTAATTTACTTTGAGATATTATATACGGAGTATTTTACTCCCTATTTGTTAAACGTATTATTATTAATTTAATGAATTTGTGAATTAATTTGCAGTGACGTCATGGAGAAATATCAAGAGAAGGTCAAAGCCCTGGCTCACAACCTCTTTCAACTCCTCCTCAACTACATCTCCCCTTCTTCTCCGGCGGCCGCCGCCGCCGTGGAATTCGACGGCGCGCTTCAGCTAAACTCATACCCGCCGTGCCCATCCCCGGCCCAGACAATAGGCTTGGCCCCACACACCGACACTCTCTTCCTCACCATCCTCCACCAGAGCAGCCCGGGGCTCCAGCTCTTCGACCCCGCCGGACTCCGGTGGAGCGCCGTGGACCATGTCCCCGGGGCCCTGACCGTCAACGTCGGCGACCTCCTTCACGTCCTCTCCAACGGCAAGTTCCGGACGGCCCGTCATCGGGCCGTTGTGATGAGCGATACCACTCAGAGGGTTTCCATGGCGTGTTTCTACGGGCCGCCGGTTGAGTCCGTCGTGGCTCCGGTTGTTTCCCCCGTCGACGGAGCTCCGGCGGTGTACCGGTCGGTCGGGGTGAAAGAGTTCTTGAATTTGAAGGCTTTGCATCTCGACGAGGCGCTTGATTTTATCAGACTTTAATTTGAAGAAGTTGAAACAATTAATGGTTATATTATCGTTAATCAAAAACTTGCATGAAGTTCTTTACTCGATCCTTGTTTAATTTAATTTTTTCATGTTAAACTCGATAAATTTTGAATTCTAATTAAATAAAAACCGTAATGTATTTTAATATAAAAATAACTTTAGATAATGTTTGGTAACCAAGATTTCATTTCAATTCATGTATTTCAATTCCAAAATTTGAAATCTTGAATTTCAAATGACAAGGGGAGACTCATGGATTTAAAATTAAACTTTGTTATGAATGAGAAGAATTTGATTCAAATCCAAATTTAAAATTTGTAAGTTTCCCAAATATGAAATTTGAGCCAAATCCAAATTTGAAATCCAAATCCATGTTCCCAAACATACTATTGGATTTATCGTATTGAGAACTTTCAAATTTGTATTTCATTATGCTAATATGCAATATAAATTGAGAGTAGTTTAAATTCAAACTAGATAAATACACTGAGACGAAGGTAATATTATATTGGTTGATACTTTACTTTGATAAAACTATTTTTGTCACACTAAATTTTACTCCAACATAATCATCTCACCAAAATGATCAAACCGTATGGTAGTGGATCAAACCAAAAAGATCTTGACTGTTTTTTACATGCAAAAATTTGTGCACTCGATCCATATACATCAAGGTGCCAAGCAGGTCCGGCCTCGAAAAATAAAAAAATTAAATTGGTTAGTTCCAAAATTTACATTTTGGGCTCTATTTTATTGTCTTGAAATACTTATGCTTCAAAATTAATGATGAATTTAAAAATATATATTCTAAAATTTTAGAAGTTCTGTGCGATTGGCCACTTTGTATACCCTACTGGCCACACATGGTGTCAAGTGTGCCATATATATTTAAGAAAATACATTATCCCACAAAAGGTGTAACAACATTATAGACCATTTCAATGATATGTATGTTCAAATTGAATTTTAATCAATTGGCCTAGAAAGAGAGAGAAGCTATATACTCCATCCGTTCCACAAAACATTACCCATTTTGAATAATATTTGGTCAAAACATTACACAATTTGACTACAAATTGTGAGAAAAGTATATTGAATTATAATATAAATTGAATATAATTAGATTCATCTTAGGATCGAGTTTTGATATATCAATTTTTATAACATTTCTTTATTTAGATTATATTTAATTAATTTATGGTCAAAGCGTGTAACTGCTTGACCAAAAATACATCAAAATGCATGTGCAATGTTTCGTGGGACGGAGAGAGTAAAAATGTAGAGAGAGAGACAAAATAGTTCTTCATTCATTCCATAATTCTCAATCAAAATTACATAATTTGACAATGTGGTGAGTGTGATGAGTCAATGCAGTGATTGGGGACGGCACTCTTGTGGCCAATGATGACAGATGATAGTGACATTATGGTGACTGTGACAATGTAACAATGACTGTGTGAACTTTTATTTTGGTCTTAAAAGTTTTAATATTTCTATTTTGGTATTTCATTGTTTTTTATTATTATTATTATTATTATCCGGAGAGTTCTCTCAATTTTTTAATAAAAATTGAAAATACTTTTTGGGATAAGTAATAAATGTAATTAAAAATTTATTTAAGGAGGGAGGGGTAATCAGTAACGTAACGATCATGAGCCTATATAAATAATGCTTCACCTTTTTAAAAAAACTTATCCCTCTCATGTTTGACTTAAGTGAAAGCATGCAAATTAAAGATCTGAATAAAACAAATTAATTTAGCTCTAAATGACGCTTAAAGAACCACTCCCCACTAATCATGCATCATTGCAATATTGAATTGTACGTGTGGGATTAAAGTCAAATAGTCATCAAATGACGGTAATAATAATGCTAGCTGTAAATTGAAGTTGGGGTAAAAAAAATCTTTTCAATTATATCCCTTCTGTTACATAAATTTTTTTCAATTTTAATTTTTGGATGAGAAGTTATAAAAGTTTGATTAAGGTGAAACACTAACCATTGAAATGAATAAAGTACGAGAAAAATCAAAATGGAGAGAGCGTGTAGAAAAAAAGGATGACACCCCATCCCTGAAGGCCACTTAGGCACTCAGCACCGGCCAGACAGTTAGCTGAGAGAGATAATTTGAGTTATAATCTCAGTCAGTTGGCGTAAGGGTGGAATTCTGTGTCAGGTACTAGCAGAAGCCTCATGCTTTGCATGAATGCCTCTCATCGCAACTATTAGACTTCGAACTCGAGAGCTCTCCCATGTAGCACCCATGTATATGCCAACCGCTGAGCTATGCCTCACCGGCAGAGAGAGCGTGTAGAGTATTGGGGTAGGTTCATTCATACACCGTATTAAGAAAAAACAATACTCGGTATTATTTAGGTTCATTTAGCCCAAATCAAAATACTCCATATGTTTTAGAATAAGTAAAAGATATAAGTGAAAAAGTTTACGGAAGTATTTCTTTACTTTTAAATTTGATGAATAATAATGGTGCTAAATTATTCTTATTAAAAAGTATGGGGGAATGAGCCAATGAGGTACATCAACGTTTGAAGCCTTGATGGGCTGCACCCTAAAAACGTAACTACACTTTCTTCCATATCAAATTAAGTTGATCACTTTTAAATGCACAAAGATTAAAAGAATTAAAAAAATGTTGAATAAATAAAAATTGAGTGGTTATGATCTGTTTAAAATAGAAAAAAAATATTTTAGACTACATAAATTTTTCCTTAAAAATTAGTGCCTCCGTCCCAAATTAAATTTCCTATTAACTATTTATAGAATCAAATTTCATTCACTTTCATTTTCATTACGGAGAGTAATACTAATACTAATACTAATTTTGAAAAAGAGCAGTAGAATTGGAGGGGTAAAAAAAGGAAGGAAATGATAATTGGACTAATTAATAAAGGAAAATGACTAATAAGTCCCTGTTGAAAAAAGATGCCAACAACCAACCAAATGGACTTCTTCCCAATGAAAAATAAAAAATTTACATCCCATATGTATATATGCTATCATCATTCCACATTCTTTTCTCCATGAAGAACAACACCTTCTCCTCCTACTTGATATCCACTTCTGCTTTCCTTGCTTTTCCCACCACCTTTATAATGGTGATGAAGATGATGATGACCTACACACCAATGCAATGAAACACTCCCACATTTATCACACGTCGACTGAATATGAACGAACGAACGCCTTTAAACAACAAGTACTAATCAACGACGTAAACCTGGGGGAAGAAACGATTGGTCGCTGGACCCAAACGGACGGTTGGAGTTCAATCTCAACGATGACGACCTCCCTTGCAATTCTCTTAGAAGAGCCGACGAGCCACTTCCCATTTCGCCCTCGTTGGGTGGAGTGGATTTTGGAGAGTAGGTTGTGGACCAAGACCCTCCGTTGGACCCCGCTAACGCCATTATTAGATCTGCCTGATACATACATAGATAGATATATAGATAGATAGATAGGAAGACGCGATCCTTGCTAATCCTAGTATTAATTACATATCCTGCTCCATCATATTTTTTCTGTGCTAAGAGGACCCTTTACCAAATAAAGTACGAGGCAAAGTGCAAATGTGTAATTTTTGGAAGCTTAAGGATCAACCCATAATTTGACCAAATCACAAGAGAGTATATGTAGTTTAAATTGTAAGATCCATTACAAAAGCTACGAAACTACTAGTGGATATATCCGGGTTTGGAGGACGAAGAAATGTTGTTTAGTTGTGAAGGGTATAACTGTTGCTTTCTCCAGTTTTACCATTCACAACTAGACGACATTTCCCAGCCCGTAAAACAAACATAACTGAAGAAAACAAATCGAGGAAAAGATCATAAAGATTAGAGAATCAAGAACAACAACACCAAACCCAGTAAACTTCTCATGAGCATAAGAGAGGTACAGTTGTATAGTTGAGTTTTGTGCGGAAGAGAGAATTAATGTGAACTAAAAAGTTCTTTCCCTAAGAGGGAATGGAAAGACTAATTAGGGACATTCAAAAAAAAGAAAATAAGAGACGGAGGGAGTATAGCTTACCTAAATTGGCATGCTAAGAACAATACTATTAGTTGGCTGAAAATTCATACATTTGTCAAGATGATAAATATTTATGAACCAACAAATAAATTTTGATAAATATAAGTAGAAATTTCATGATTTTATCACATGGTACTTGCCAAAATCAAAACTTTTCATTGCTGTTCATTAAATCTGAAAGAGAATGTGCTATATATTTATGTATAATTGTATACATCTGAAGGCTTCAATCCAAGAAGCAAATATGTGATCATTTATTAAGTAAGCAAAAGACAAACCTTGCTGGGATGAACATCATCAAAAACATGAGCTTGACCATTGTAAAAAATTGTCATCTGTCGTCCAGTAGATCCCACTCCGTGTCTGCTTCCATGAAACAAATGCCAAAGTGTTTTGTCATTTTTATCCATATTTCTATATACTAGCACATGATATGATCATATCAATGATAGAAACTTCAAAGGAATAGCTCGCATTCCTTTAGGCTATGTCTGGATCATGGAAATGCCAAGAGAAAGAGAAAGAGTCCTAAAAACTACTCGTTTTTTACATGTAGTCTTACCTTGGGAAATACAATGGTAAATGAAATTTTTTCATATCTTTACAAAAAATTACTCCATATTAATGTTTACATATTAGTACTCCGTAACAAACAAAGAAATGAGTTTGGAATTTTCTAAAATATACGGAGTATTTGTCAATTTTGAGTCTATCTTTTTTTTTTCAAATCTGTTCTCCATCTAACTTTTCCTTTCTCTATTCCCTTAGCATTTTTTCCAATTTCCATAGGGACACGCCTGTTTTTTTTAGTAGTTTACCGAGGATTAGAGGATTCAGCAGGATCAGAGCTTTGGATCCCAAAGTTTTGCTTAGGGACAGTTAAAGGGACCCCAGAGAGCGCTCTATCCGACATTCTAAGCACACCCGACCCTTTGATTCCCGTTCTTGACCCTTCATCAGCAGCTGCTTGAGATATGAGGGAAGGACCGGCGACAGCGTTGGTATCTCTACTAAACCTGTTGGGAGGTGTTTGGTACCCAAAAGGTGCAACTTGGGCGGCGTGTGAAGGGTACTGCAAAGCGGGAACAGGATTGACTGGGACCCATTTGGAAGTAGTGGTAGTAGAATAATTTCTAGTAGCACCACCCATTGAGAGAGAGGGCGAAAGTGGCCTCATTGGATTATGCACTCCTAGCGGTGATTCTTCGTTGTATGGTGATCCTCTGCATCTCTCCCCTCCTGCACCACTCCGTAGTAGCTGAACTTCAACAAAACTTACCCATATCAGAGTAAGTAGCCGTTTAGTAGCCACTTGTTCTTGGCTAAGCAGCCTATATATACGGAGCATTTCTTTTACCAAACACTAATTTTTCAACAATATTCTCTTGCCTTTTGCCATTTTTTTATTTAGATTCTCTTTAATTTTTCATAAATACGAGTATATTTGAATTTTTTGGTAATGAAGCAATGTCAGCAATTTCAATCAAAGGGGCTCTGAATATGAGATTAGTAGTTCGGGAAATGTAAGGCTGATAATAAAATGCAAAATGTCAAATTTCTATATCAATGGACAAAATGAATGAAAATGCATGAAGGTTAACTACAAAAGGCCCATATGGGATGTATGTAAATGTGAGTTTTCATTAACCATAAATGTCATTGTGATCAAACTGTTTTCTTTTCTTCCATTGTAATTTGTAAAGGAGAAACAAGGAAATGGATCATACCTTCATAACATGTGAGTCGGGTTGAGCAGCTGGAAACCTATCTTTACAAGACACCATATTAGAATCCGAATTGCATCTCTTGCTGCCCGAAAACGGATAACTTGTCTGTGGCCCTGTAAAAACTGCCTCTTTAGCCACACACATTTCCTTTTAGAACATTTATTTCAAAGATTGAGTCATAATGTAATCCATATCAAGAACATCATTTGATCATTCCACCAGTCAGTCAACAACAACAGCAAAAAGTAGTGTGTGTGGAGGGCGTGTGCAAACTTTACCCCTACTTGGAAGTAGGAAATAGAGAGACTGTTTTCAAGAGAGCCCGGCTAGGCTCGGCAAACCACAAGCCCAATTAGGAGCTCTAGTCCTTCTAGAAAACTGCCTAACAGAAGAATCCTCATTACAAGCTACAGTATAACCATGATAATTAAATTGCTACAAGTATAAATTAAAAGCTTTGTAAAGAAACAAAAAAGATGAGAAATTTTGCAAATTAATGTTTGAGCAAACTGAGTAATTTCACTTACATCATCACAGTGAATGAATGAATGAATGAATAAAAGAGTTAATGAATTAATTAACGATTTGAGCAGAAGCAAGACTGTACTAACCAGAACACATATCTGAAGTGTTGGACACAGGGCCACATGAGGAGGCGCCGAGAGAGGCGGAAGAAGCCACCGGGTAGGGCTCAAAGAGGGGCGGCCTCGCGGCGGCGGCGGCGGCCGGAGACGACGAATCTGGGGCACACCCTTTGCCCAAGAAATCATGAAAGACGGTATTGCCCTTCGAATCCTCACCAGCAGCAGCAGCAGCATTAGAAGGAACCTTGAGAAGACTAGCATTGCTGTTGGGCTGAGAAGCCATGGAAGATGCAGAGACTCAGCTAGACAACAATCAAGAAAGAATCCATTTTTCTTGCTTCAAAAAAAAACCCAGTAAAAATCAAGATTCATTTCCCTTAATTGATGAGGGTGAGCTCAGGCCAGTAGCTAACATAGTGGGTGCACGAGAAAAGAAAGCTAAAGCCTAAAAGGTAGAGTCTTTGGCACAAGAGAGAGAGAGAGATTAAAGAAAAGGGTGCACGATTTTCAGAAAAGATGATTATATTTGACAGAGGGTTTGATTTGCTGTTTTAAGACAACTTTGTCGACTACCCGCGGAATATTTCACAATTCACGTGATTTTTCATTTTACTTTGCACCATTGTAATGATGATTTCACACTCTACTAGTCTCCTTCCATGGAATCTCCGTTGAGAGTTTTTTGTCTCTCCCATTCCAAAAGATATTCTTATTTGAGTATATTTTTCTACTTTGTAAAAATTAATCTCGATATCTATAAAAAAAAAGTTTATATAAATTTTAAGTATTTCCTTCGTCCGAAAATATTCTTCCCATTTAATTTTTTACGATCTCCTAGATTGTACTTTGACCATTAATATCTTTATTTATACATAGATATATTTTATAAAAATTTGATATTTGAAAACTATATTTCAAAATTAATATATTTATATTAAAGTTATATCGTAATACAATGTATTTTTTCCACATATCATAATCAAAGTTTACAAACTTTGACCAAGAAAAGTCAAATGGAAAGAATATTTCCGGACGGAGGGAGTATATAATTTTTTTTAATCTTTACACTTATAATCAAATAGATCAAAAAAAAAGTTAAACCTTATAACACGGAATGAGAAGAATAATTCAAACAAATAAATAGGGTAACTTTTTTTAAAAATACAATGTGATATCCCATCCGCGTCACAAACATTATGTATGGGTCCAATTGTTTTTCTTTCTTTATGAGTTTATTATCTACACACAAGTCATATATGATGACATGTATAATCTACGAATCAAAAGAAAATATTGTTTTCAACAATTAACAATTTCGTTTAGCAAAATTCTGCCACCATCACTGTCGATAAGAAACCATTGTTGATGTCCACCACAACTCGTTGAGGATGTGCATCTATCGCTACCAACAATCGCCATCGTGCCCCACCACCTGCCCTCGCCGCTGCAATCTTCATCGTCACCCAGCACCAACATAACCGCTACATACTACTAGATCTGTTAATGGGGTGAGATTTGACCTTTAAAAAATTCAAATTAATAAACACTTCGAAATGTAATTACATTCTTTATTTCCATAATCTCACTAAAAATTTTAAAATCACTATTTATTTATATAGAATCGGGTCTAATCGAATCTAAAAGATACCTAGACCCATTGAAATAACTTTAATACATATGAGTCTGAATTCAAGTCGAGTAAACAGAATTATTTTTACCATGTATTTACAAAATAATTTACAGACAGGCCCTACACATTAGTCATTATCCCCTATTTGGAGTTTTGTGTAAGTAGTGGTCATTTTCTTGGCAATAGATTCTCCCCTTTTTTTTTGTCTTCAAGACAATGTAATACCACTCACCATCACCCTCCCATTTCATACTGTTATATTTCCTGTCTTTTCCACCCCTTTGCTTCAAATCTTTGTCCAACCCTATCAAATCTAGGCAAAGAATCCAATTCTTTCTCGTTTATTTTTTCGAGATGATCTAACTTATTTTGCTATATAATCCGTATTAATTTATTCACTTGATGGAGTTTGAAAGTAGCTAGTGTTTTACGGAATAGTAGTTTTTTTAATACTCCCCCTACTAAGGGAATTTCACTCGGTATTTTTGTCTTAGTGTATAATAAGTGTACACCAAGTGGGGTTCCCGAGCACTCTAATAATTTAGATAGCTGAAATTCTAACTTCAACATCATGTTTTATGGCATTATTTATCTTTGAATTGTGACGTTTATATACTCCGTAAGAAATATACTACCAGTCTACAATATATACCAAGTAAATCCAACCAAATCATTCATTCTAATAACTACTTGTGTAAATTAAGCATGAATGTAGCCACTTTAATTTAAGTTTTTCATAAAAATGACACACACACACACAAATACATAAAATTCTGCAGCATAAATAAATACATTTTTAAGTAGATACAAACACATATATATGTACCCTATTTCTATAGATGTTGCACCATTATTAATCTACAAACACATATATATGTACTCTATTTCTCTCTTTGATAAACTGAAAGAAAATGAAAGAAAGAAAGAAAGATCAAAGAGAAATATAAGTGCTAGTACCAGTATTCTCTAATATATATATTTTTTATATTTTATTACATTTTAATGCAAAATACAAGTGGTAGTATCAATATTCTAAATATAAACGCTCATAACCACATGGGTCGACTCGAATCCAATGACATTGGGTCATAAAAATGCATTACGAAACCAATGGTAGTGCAGATCGAGAAAGCTAAGGGTGTGTTTGGTTTTGATGATACCTTGTTTGGTCTGTTTCGAGCTAAGTAGCCACCTTTGGATCACCTTCTCTGGAAGTTGAAGTATTTGATAGCGAAACCGAAAGTGAGAGCAAAAACCAGGCAGAAACCAGCCACGGCTATAATGGCAACGCCAAGGAACTCATGCCTGAACCCAAACTGTAGTCTGAGAAACTGTTTGATTGGCACAGAACTAACGCCGTCCGCTAGTTTTACATGCTCACTCACATCTCCATACTGAGATGTCAATAGTCCATACAGACTCCACGCAACCGGATTCGCCCAGTAGTACCATCTCCACCATATTGGGATTCTCTGCAATGCCAAATTAAACCACAATTTCTTATTCATTATTTATGTCATTTGATGAAAATATGTCTTGTCTGTCCATCTTCATTTCAAGTTTCAACCAAAATAGAAACCAAATGGGCAATATGCCATACCATGCGAGAAATCATGAAGCCGCTGAAAAGGTTCCACATCATATAGAATGGCGCAGCAACTATGGCTGCGACATTGTGGTTTGGAGTGACAGCCGTAGTCATCATCCCAAACAAAGTGAAGTATAGTAAGGTGAGGAACATGAAACATATGTACCAAATAAATTTCCAAACACTCCACTCGAAAGACGCCATCGAGTAGAATATGGAGCTGTAGATGAGTGTCTGTATGAACACATAGGGGAACTCAACCGTAACCTGCGAAAGCAATTACACATTTATCCCTTCACTGGTTAGATTTTTTCACAAAAGACCCTTTCAAGTGTCAACTCTCTATACCTGTGCAAAAGCAAATGGTAGAGCAGAATACATTCCTGCAGCTCTCTCTCTGTACGAAACAAATCTTTCGGTGTAAACCACGGGCTGAACCGAAGAGGCGTTTGTGATTCCAATGAAAAGAACTGCTGCATACATTGATCCCATGGCGTTCAGTATGTCTTGTTGAGTGTCCCTGCGGTTGGAAAAAATATGAGAAAACAAAAGCCAAAATCTTCACTGTGAATCGGGCAAATAAACGAAGGGTTGAGTTGACAAAACTAAACCTTTTGGAACCGAATTTCCAGCATATAGAACCAAACATCAATGAGATGATGACAGTGTAGAAGAAGCGAACAGCGGTGTATTGTGGGTTTCGCCAGTAGGACAGGTTCTGCTTCCAAAGACATGCCCAAAACTGGCCAGAAAATGACTGGGAATATTTTCTTGGGAAGTTTAGTTCAGCTGAAGCTGCGTTTGGTTTGCTTAATCTCTCCACCATATCCTTATTTTCCCTGGATATACATTTCTACATGAGTGGCAATATATTACATGTATTTGCGCAGACTAGGGCGAGGGAGACCAGGAACATACTGGAACAGGTTTGATTTATGATAAATTTCTGCAAAGTCCAAACCAAGGCGGCTTTCCTCTGCTGGAGAAGTGACCTCAAGAACCCAAGCTGCAGGGTTGTATCCGGCACGAATTTTAGGAACTCCTTCAATTGCCTGCTTAAACATCATCATCAAGGAGTTATTTATAGGACCATGCTATAACCACACCACATATGACACCAAGGTTGACACTGTCAGCGAATCACAGAATAATTTCTCATACACAACGAATGGTGTCAACCTTGGAGTTAAAGTAGCATTTTCTTTATTTATAAGGCATGATGATAACCAAACATGCTATAATGGATTATGAGTTTTACCTCAAAATACAGAATGAGTTTTTGGGAATCGGTGCCCAATGGACCGCCATAGATGAGCTCCCCGCCTCGTTTCATAAGCAAAAGCTAAGGTACAGAATTTTTAAAAAGAAAAAAAAAGATCAAATGGCGTTTACACAAAGAAACAACAAAAGTTTGTTTGGGTTGAGGAATCCAAGAACCTCATCAAATGCTTCAAAGATGTCTATGCTGGGTTGATGAATTGTGCACACAATGGTCCTTCCAGTGTCAACAATGTTCCTCACTGTTCTCATGACAATGGCAGCAGCCCTGGCATCCAGCCCAGAAGTTGGTTCATCCATGAAAACTATGGATGGGTTTGCAACAAGCTCGATGGCAATTGTCAAACGTTTCCTTTGCTCAGTTGAAAGCCCATCAACCCCTGGAAGGCCAACCAATGCCCCCCCTAAATTAGTCAACTCAACTAGCTCCATTACCTCCTCCACAAAAGCCTGACCCAAAACAAAATGTCTTAGGAATGCAGGTCGCCCTTCATCATCATTGACAGGAATCAAAGATTAACTTATATATATACCTTTTGTGTTTTCAAGTCAATTTGAGAGGAGAGACGGAGCCAAGCAGAAAACAGAATGGACTCATTGACAGTTAAGCAAGGGGAATGAACATCGTTCTGCTCACAGTAACCGGAGACTCTTGCAAAAGTTTCTTGTTTCTTGGGATGGCCAGAAATGAATATATCACCTTCAATATGCCCACCTGTTTTTCTACCTGCCAAAACATCCATTAGTGTAGTTTTCCCAGCACCACTAACCCCCACTAATGCAGTAAGCACCCCCGGACGAAACGCTCCGCTGACGTTCACCAAAAGCTGCAATCTTTCCTCTTTTATCCCTTCACTTTTAAGTTCCTGAAACACTGTGATAATTAGGATTACAGTTTTTTTGAAAATTGTTTTTGAACAG